CGCAACCTCTCCACCAATAAAGACTTGCATTTATAGTAAATAGTGATTGATCAACCCTAGATCGTTCAAACCCCGTTTATTCGAAACGCTATAAGCCTATAAGCGGTTGCGTGAACGCATACAAACACATGAAAATGGCGCGTAAGCGTCCAAAGCGAACGCACTCTATGTTATATAGCACAATGGACCAGACGAATATCCACGCCGAGGCGCCATAACGCTTATTTTTCACACCATTCTATTTATCTTTATAAGAGTTTTCATATCGTATTATAATAGGAGGAAGTTTGTATATCCGCTGCATTGGCTGCATTAATTTCTTACAATTTTGTAATCTATATCAATAAAAGATGCCAGGGAACGTGGTACGTAAAATTTTTTTCCTTTTTCATGTTCTTAATATAAATTAATACACAAAATAATACATAAATTTCATATTGATTAATCACTATTAAATGTTACATTACAATTGACAGGTTGTTTGAATTTTTTTTGAAATGAGGATAAAAACGTGAAAAAAAATTTTTTCTACAGTAATTTTATTTTAATATAAAATACATATTTTATGTATATTTGAAAAGATAGTTTTATTTTTTTTTTATATTTATGTGTTTTAATTAAAATTTTATATTTTGTAATTTACTTTTAAATTAACATGCTTTTTAAATATAATTTTTTTTTAAGTTAAATGGCGATCATATTGATATAAAAAGTACCAATTATGAACTTCAAGAGAATGAAGATGAGAGCATTGAAAATATACATTTTGAACCTATAATCTCTTTGCCTTTGATAGAAGTATCAAACAATGAAGAAGATGAAATAGAAATGTTAAAATTGTAAGTTATATTAAATGTAAGAATAATTTTAGGAAGTTATATGCAATATCATATATATATATATATATATATATATAATGTCTTTTATGCAATATACAGGCGAGCAAAATTGTATCGTTATGATACATCAAATATTCCAGCAGAATGGAAGGAACGTGGTACTGGAGAAGTCAAATTGTTAAGGCACAAAACAAAAAACACAGTTAGAGTAGTCATGCGTAGAGACAAAACTCTTAAGATTTGTGCTAATCATTTTGTGACTCCATGGATGGAATTAAAACCAAATTGTGGCAGTGATAGAGCATGGGTCTGGAGTGTACTTGCTGATTATGCAGATGAACAACTTAAACCTGAATTACTTGCAATTCGTTTTGCAAATACTGAAAGTAAGTTTTGATACAATAAATCTAACACATACAGAGTGTTTGCGGACAGTCGCAACAAACTTAGTGTATTAATGGAGTCCAGTGGATGAAAAAAGTTTATATAAACTTATGTCCGAAAATGCTTTATTAAAAAATTATAAACATTCAAAGATTCGTGAGCAGAATTGTTTAGTAATTATTCAGATTAGATTACATCTTAGCGATTCTTCTGCTGCTGAAATATGTTATTAGAGAAGGCTTTCCTGAGTAAATCCCTGCGAGAATTATGTGGGGGACTTCTGACATTATTTTAAAATGAAAATCCTAATACCAAAATGTCGAGGTTCTAATAGTTTTTAAATCGAAAGAAATTATAAAAAAACTTTTAAAAAAAACGGCTTAAAGCACGTGAAAGTACAAACTTCATGCTTTAAAATACTTTATTAATTTTTGTCTGCGATGACTTTTTGTCAAGTTTCAGCGGTTTGAAAGCTGCTAAATTTTGAGCATCTAAAAAGTATTTTTAGTATACAAAAAGTATTTTTAGTATACAAAACAAAAATAAATATAAAATAATAGTTTAAAATAATTTTGCATTATTTCACTTATTTATTACAGATGCATCAGCTTGGAAAGAAGCATTTGAGAAAGCTAAAAAGATTGTAGGATCTGAATGTGAGATTTATGCTGGTAAAAGCAGCCCAGAACAGAAACACGTAGAAAGCGATAGTGAACCTAGCAGCGATGTAAGCTATGATGAAAGTACAGATAACGAAGAAGTCAAATCATCTAAGCAGAATGAAAAATGTAATACAATTCCTGAACAGGAAGAAATTGAAAACAAGATAACGATGCCGATGGAAAAAGATATAGTAACAAATGACAAAATAATCAAAGAAATTACAAAATTGAATTTGAAAGACGATAATGAGCAAAAATAATGAATCATATATAAAGACATACGAACACGGAGTTTATCAAACGGAACATTCCGATATTATGCACACAAATATGCATATTACATATTGTTGATATTTCATTATTTGAACAATGACATACAGGAATATATTTTTTAGTAATAATGTTATGGAAAAATATAATAAACTTCCAAATCGTGCTGTAAAATCGTATTTTTTTTAGTGTTGCACATATCGCTCATTTGCTGCAACAGTAACATAACTAAAAAAAATCACGATTTTCCAAAGAAAACGAGTTTTAATGTTTTACATCGTTATAAAATGTGACGATGCAATAGTAACACAACTAGTTTTGAAAGGCGAGTTTTAGAAGTTCAGTTATATCATTCTACAGTAAATAGAGTACAAGCAAAAACCATTCTTTCTATATCAACAACTCAACAACGGCAAATTTTGAATTATGTCATTGTTGCAGCAAATGAGCGATATTATCTGTGATTTTTCTAAACTAATAATAGAATACAAAATAGCATTTGCATAAGAAAAAATTATATGTAAAGGAATGTACACCACAATAAAATAATGGAGAAATAATGCAACAATTTCATAAATAAAAATGTTTATTAATTCATCAAGATTTACGCATATCACGTTTTTTTTTAAATAATTGCACATGCCTTGCTAAAAAATATATATATAGAAAAATGTATAATAAATGATCTGACATTTGTTCTTTCTAGAACACGATAAAAAAACAAAAGAAATTAAATAATTAAAATATTGTGATATTTTAAATAGTATTCAAAGTATATTATACGATTCATATTTTTATCAGCATTTATATAAAATTTCTATAAAATTTGATATAAAATAATGAGTGTATAAAATAATAATTATAACAAACAGTTGATATTTAGACTAAATCTTAATTATTAGATTAACCCATTCAGGACGGCTCGCAGTCAGCTTGCCGTACATGTCACCCGTCCTGAATAGGTTAATGGTCGGCCATCAATAGTTTAAAGTTCGTCTCTTGCTGAAAAAGACTGTAAGATGTTTCGTCTTTCCTCCATGGTACGCTTCTTTTGATCAGACAGTTTTCCCTTATAAAGAAGTCCTTGTACTCGAGTTTCTTCTGTTTGTATGAACACGTCTCCCCGCTCCAATATCTTTTCCATGGTCTTTACATAAATTTTTGCGGCATCTCGTTGCTTCTCCGGCAAAGTCTTCTCGAAAATCCTTGCTTTCTTTAATATTTCCTGAGAAAAAAGATAAACATGCTTTGATGAAGAAAATATCACAAATGTATAATCATTTTAATCACAAAATAATCGACAAAATAATGTATGTCTAAAGCTAACATAATCTTATCTTGGTATAATCGAATAAAAGAATATGCAAGAATTCAATGCCTTTTTACTTGTTACTTTGTTTCCAATTTTGTTGTTCCTATAGTTTCATTAGAAACAGTGATTTCTTATATTTAAAGTTGCACGTCATATAAAAAAATAAGGTGAGTACAAAGATATATATGTTTCTTTATTGCTTGTAGTGTTATTTTATTACTAATTAATAAATCTATTTTTATCTATTTTATCGCTGCTAAAAGTAATATAAAAGTACATAATATTTGCACTTGCACGAAAATTGTTAATATATCATTTGTAATAAAGAAGCTAAAAATAAAAAGCATTTGAAAAGCGCTAAAATATCTATCGTTAATCGTGACATTACAATATAGATAGTAGAAGTTCCATTACACTGATAGATCTAAAAATATATGCTGATCAATGCGATTGTTACCGTTATATTTTTCCCATTGCATAAATTTATATGACGCAATAAAAATGCGTTTGCAACTTGTACGTGACATTTTTCAAACTTTAATTATTTTTAATCAATTATCACTTAATGTTTGGATACATCTTATTTGTTTTTCTGACATTTGTACTATCTATACCTAATAAACAAATTAAAAATAATTTTTTATCTTTTAATAAACAAATTAAAAATAATTTTTTATCTTTTAATGAATAAGTATTAATTGCTAAGGCTTAACTTAATGTATCTATTTAAAAATATATGTATAATCTTGTCATATGACATTTGTTTTGAATGTATTGTAGAATCTTTAATATAATTAAACTCATTCAAATTTAATTCGTTAAATTCAATTGCATTAATTCCTTTAATTGAATTAAACGCAATTGGAGTTCTTTAATTCAATAACAATTTTTTAATAAAGTTTGTAATTTGAAATCATATAATTAATTTAATATCCTTTTTCACCGTTTTATTATCATATTTTTACGATAATTATTGATAATCGAAAGAACAAATAAACAGAAGGCTGTATTCACTTATTACCTGTCTCTCTTGTTCTCCCGCGGCTTTGAATTCTTCCGCTAATTTATCCAGCTGTTTCAAGCATCCTGGCAAACCTAAATACACTCTTGATTTAAATCTGACAAACCGCTTCAGGTGTTCACCAGTGAAATCGGAATCCTTCTCAGGAGTGAATTTGATCGGCTCTGATTTGCCTTGTATAAATAGCAAAACTACTGGAAAATCTTCCTTCTTGATGTTATAGCGTTGTGCCAAGTCGGAGTTGTCTTTATTGCCAAAGTCCTTAACACCCACTGTGGCTATTAGGAGATCCTGCGCATCCCTGGTGTCAGTCGCTACGGTTGCATATTGTTCATGTTTGCCGCCGTACGGAAATGCGACATCGAATTTAACAAGCACCGCTTTGAACTTGAGGATAACCTGCGTGAAAAATGTTTTTGGATGGATAATTTTGAGAATCATTCGTAACTGCTACAATCCTGTATTAAAAAAGTATTATGTCCTGCAAACTTCGCGTTCTTTTCTCACGCAACGTTCCTATTTTTGGTCGACGAAAATAAAAGAGTAAGCAGAAGTGTTGGAAATTAGATATATCGGCATAAAAAAGGAAATCTCCATCTATTATGCCGACAAACACGATAAAATTAAAAACTAATAATAAGTAAAAGTTTTAGCCGGTGCTAGTTGTTTATTAAAAAGTTATTAAAAAAATAAGTTTAATGAATAAAATATAATTTTCCGACACCGTGTACGTTAGTAGAATGTACTCTTAACAGATTTATTTATTCAAACGTGATAATGAATGCATTTTAGTCGTCACTCGTTGTTTATTAAAGTTATTAACAATTAAATTTAGCAAATGACTTTTTCTTATTTTTTTTGCCTATAGAAATTTTATAGAAAAATCGTTACACTGTTGTCCTGCAGCGAATATTTCCTGTTACTTAATTATAGAATTATCAAGTGTACAGTTTCTATTATGAATTCGTAATCAACGTGTTATTTTTTTAAATAATAATTTCTTTGTGTTTATTAACTAATTCTGTACTTACTGAATAAATTATAAAAACTTCATTGTTCACAACATTTTCGCAACGTATTTACATTTATTAAAACGTGGGAAGCTCTCCCTCGCATTCAATGTCTCACATTTTAATAAATAAACAAAAGTACGTTCTATTAACGTACATTGTAACAGAAAATTACGTTTGACTCATTAAACTTATTTTGTTAATAACTTGCCCGTTCTGTATGAGTTTGTTTGCTTCTTGCCATAATCGTTTTCCATACGATTTTTTAGAAAATCGATTTTTTCCAAGAAAATCTAAAAAAAAATCAATTTTTACATATCGATTTAGAATCGAACATCCCTAATCGATTAACAAATTGTATTTTCTTAGAATTATTTGTTTATATGAACGATATCTACGCCACTTTTCTAGAAGATTTGTTAATCGATTAGGAATATTCGATTCCAAATCAATTTCTTTAAAAATTCTAAAGAAAAAATCGATTTTCTAAGAAAAACCCAATATTTACATATTCATGCATACAGTATGCAATCAATTTTTTATTAGTTTACTAAATATTCTCCTTTTTACTTTAATTTGATGTAATTATTTATCTGCATTTGGATTAGCATTTTCTATTTTAATATTAAAAAATGTCTTGATTTTAATCCCATCTTTTTATTTTTTACCAAAACACACATTTGCATAAATAATTCAGTCTAATTATAATAATCTATATAAAATATCCTATCAACTTTCTTTACATATTTAAAAAAATCTGTTTTGCATCTTCCTTGAATACAACAAGGAATTCTTTTTACCTATTCGAAATATTAAAAATCTCATTTTACAACTTTATCATTGTCACATAAATATCTTTTATTTTATATTATTTATAATACAGATTTATAGAAACGTTTTCTGTCATTTGATACATTTGATAGGTATATTATAGATATATTTTGCAAATTTTGTTTACTATTCAATAGCAGAAATTTTTTCGCACTCCCATACCTTATCAAATGAGTAGGAATCCAAAGGCACACATCCTTTACAATCTTCGCTCGTAGAAACATGTAACAGGGCAACGGTAAGGATAATAAAAAACACAAGAGCCAATCGTATCATCATAAAAAATGCGGCGATTGTCTAGCTAACCAACTTCACGTTCAACTTTGTCAAGTATTCGTTTTTTTTGTCCCGCGGAATGAAGAATATCCTTTTCACACACTCTGGCAATACACTTGTGAAGTTTGTGCACAATAATATACGTAGCAATACATTAAATCAACGAACCGGCCTTTATCTCGGTCAATGTTCTCTAGCAACCGAAGTGACAGACGGTGACAGACCAATCTAGAATGATTTTGGAGACCTCATGTGAGAGTAGCGCGAAACTCTTGACTCTAAGTCGATAAAGAAATCCAACGTTGTTAAAAAGAAACTGTACATGTGTTATATCCGTGTGCGTATAAATTCAAATGCACTGCTCGTTTGGCTGCAAAAGTAGAAAAAAGTCGTCTGTCTTATCGACTATTATTGTTATCTTCTCTCAGTCACCAATCTTTTTTTAACCGCACAGAATTAAAGATCCTTTCCGTATTAAAGTGTACACACGAAAAAGTCGATTTTATTCCGAGAAAGAAAGAAAATTCTTTGATTGGAAAAAGTTCTTTGAGTACGCAAATGTTTTTCAAATCGTGTGTAGATTATATGGATTATATTTTCTTTAACTTCTAATTTATAAGAATCGCTTCTGTTGTTTACTCGTTATTATTTTTACTTAATTTAAAGTTGAGATTACATTCTCAGACAACACGCATCTTAAAGATATCTAAAAAGACGTCCGAAAAAAATGCCTAAAAAAAAATGTCTTTTGGATGCTTTTCAGATATTTTTAAGACGTGCGTGTTGTTTGGGTTATCTTCGAAAATGCCTAAAAATTTGGAAAAAGTTATTTACTAACTTCAGAGACAACTGGCGACATTTTTTGGCTTATTCGAGATATGGCCATTGAGCTCTATAATATACTAGAGTGAACATAGCCGTAATACGTGTATACAAGGTTTATTTGCGTCACATGTTCCAACATGCTCCAATATGCTCCAATATAGTTTACGTTACGTATACTATATACTTATATAGTTCAGTGTGTTTGTTCCTGTCTCCAGTTTTCTTGGTTGACTGTTGACTCGTGACATGACATATAAATGAAGAACGAAATAAGTGTGTACAAAGGCTTAACAAGATTTTTATCAAAAAAATTAAAAACACTTAAAATCTTAACAATAAGAAAGGAAAATTTTTTTATATTGAAATATAACATGATATATATTTTAAGGTTATAGTTTGTGGTTCTTATTAAAACTATGGTATGTTACTCGCTATTTTAGTTTTTTTTATATAAATGTATATTTTGTAAAAATTGAATATTGTTTTCTAATGTATTTTGGGATGTATTTTTTAAATAATATTTTATTAGTTATAAATATATTTGATATAGAACTATGCTTTTTAAAACAGGAGGAACGATCAAACATTTGTGTAACATTAATTGATGACACAAAGCATAGTAATGATATTACATCTTTAAATAGAAAATTAAGCAAAAAATCCAAATCTAAAAAGAGGAAAGCTGATAAAAAGGAAAGAAGAAAACACAAGAAAAAAAGCAAACATGTTATATCATCTTCAAGCAGTGTAAGCAGTCTAAGAATATATAATTTTTGGTTAATACTTGTGTAAATCTTGATGTAAAGTTACATATTTTATAGAGAAGTGATGACAGCAGTGAATTTGATTGGGTGGAAAAGAAAGTTGAGGATCAAACTACTTTACATACTGATGAAAATCTTGTTAATAGCAAAGCACAAACAAATCAACTTGAAAGAGATGAATGGATGAATTTTGAAAGTTTTCTTCCATGTACATCAAAATCGGATATGAGGAAACAAAAATCTGATAACAAAAAGGAAGAAAGAACTAACATTTTTTTGAGTAAACCAGGTCAGAGCAATAGAGAACTGAATCCGTATTGGAAAGATGGAGGCGATGGATTGCCTCAAAATAGGTCCAAAATAATTGACAATCCACAAATCATGGATGCAAATTGGTTAAAAAGAAGTCTCCAACGTGCAGAAGAACAAGCTCTTAGAGATGGTAAAAGTTTAGAAGAAGTGGCTGTGGAACGCTGGGGTGTGAGTTTATTAAAGGAATAATCTTTTATATATATATGAATCCTAAATTAATGCATTTAATTGTTTTTTTCAGTCCTTAGAAATTATTCAATCAATGATAATTAAAGCAGAAAAAATGTCAAATACTGAGCAGAATACATCGTACCACAAGAAATATTATGATAGAAATAATAAAGATTCACATAGAAGTTCAAGAAGAAAAAATCGTTCAAGATCCAGATCTAGAAGTAAAGAGCGTGCAGAAAAACATAGTACTTCCGACTATTTATTTCAACATCACACATCACAACAGAAACAAACTTATCAAAGATCTAAAGTTAAAGATAATTATTATCAAGAGATTGCACATGGATCCACTAGTAATCGTACAAAAAATTGGAAAAAAACTAAAGATGATGGAAAAAAACCTGAATCATCTAAACTAAAGGAAACAAATGTAGAGAATGTTGACGTAAATGTGACAGATAAAAAGAAAGATATCGGCCTTTTAACAGAAGCAGAAATGAATAAATTGGGAGCAAGAATTATTAAAGCTGAATTAATGGGTGATGATGTATGCTATTATCATTTGCTGTTTTTTTCTATAGCACATACATTTTGCAACGCTTTATATTTAGTGAAATAATTTTATTTATCTAGGAATTGGCAGTTCAACTTAAAGTCCAACTAGAACAAGCTAGAAAACTAGCTGCGACAAACAATAGTAATGCGCAAGAAGAGACAGTAATTCTTACAATAACAGATGCAAAAGGTATTATTGTTTTTTTTTTAAGGGTAAAAATAAATAATTACTTGAGAATTTTGCGTTAGGTATTGCAAGACCAATTCAACCCAGAAATCAATTTGAGCAGTCCATAGAAGGTCATAGAAAGAAGAAAACACATGTCTCCAGCCAAAAGAAGTGTGACTTCTTAAATAACGATAAATATTCTTTACAAAAGATTGTAAGTAATTTAATTAATAAATTCAAAGAATTCTAGCGTTATGTAATACAAATTTTTCTCGTAGTTTCAACAAGAGAAAGGTAGATCCACAAACGAGGATGAAGCAATGTTTGTTAAATTTGCATCTAAAGTAAGTTAACTAACTAAATTTTAAATTGTAAAAGTGTTAAAATTGAAAATGAGTGAAAAAAAATAGAAAACAAATTCTACAGTATTTGTTTTGCAGAGTGCGGGTGATATGGATGATGAATTCGAACAACAAATTGCGCAAAAAGATTTAGAAGCAAAGCAAGATAAGCGGGATCGTGCACGTGCAATTAAAGAACACAAAGACTTGTCTAAATTTATAGATAATTGTTGGTGGTGCCTTGATTCAAAGAATATGTTGAAACATATGATCATTACAATGGATTCTGAAATTTGCTTGAGCCTGCCTGCTTGTACTTCCCTGATTAATGGCCATTGCATATTGACACCTATACAGCATGTCGCTTGTCAACTGCATTTAGATGAAGATGTATGGAATAGGCTTAAGGTAATTTTTGATATTTTTTGTTATCTAAAAAGAAGGGCTTTTCCATAACATTTTGTCTCAATTGAAATCCGACCTTAAAAAGTGCATATTAGAATTTTAAGAAAGATAAAAATAACAATTTTCAACATATTTAAGATACTATTTTGAAGAAAAGAGAAATTTTTTAAATAATTATTTCACTATCTCTTAATGTATGATAGAATGTTGAATAGAATTAATATTATTTATTCAAATATAATATAGCAACTTTTTTTAGCAACTTTATGACAAATATGGTCTAAAATCTTACATCATAAAATAATAAAACAAAAAATTTGTACAAAAATATGCATTAATTAGATAACTACATTACATTAGATTTTCTTTTAAAACGTAAAATCCATTGTAAAGAGAATAGTTAGTGTTTTAAAATAACACAAACCACGAAAGAAATATTTGTTTTGAAATGGCTTTGTAAATATGAAAAAAATTGTTATTTTTAAGATTTTCTTTTTTGGTTTTTTTTCAAAACTGCAATATGATATGCGCTTTTTAAAGCCACATTTGAAATTCGTTACATAAAAACCTGGGAAATTATCGCCTTTCCGAAAATAATAGACTCACATAAAAAGTGTGATTATCCTACTAAATTATTTCTGTTGATATACGAGCAAGATATTTCTTTACAGGAATTGAAAAGAAAATTGATAGATATGTTCAGCAATGAGGATCTTTATCCAATATTTTTTGAAATCTATAAAAAACATCGCAGATTTTCACATATGCAATTAGAGTGTATTCCGTTACCGAAAGAAATTGGTGAGTTAGCGCCGATGTATTTTAAGGTAAGTGTACTCAAGTTGGTAATTCTTGTTAATTCTTAAATTAAAGCGTAACTTACTCTTGATTTTCTGTTACAGAAAGCTTTGTTGGAATGTGAAACTGAATGGTCTGTTAATAAGAAAATTGTTGATTTGAAACATAAAGATATACGACACGCTGTACCAAATAGTTTATCATATTTCATGGTAGAGTTTTCCTCACATTCTGGTTATGCTCATGTAATTGAGGACGAAAAATTATTTCCAAAGAATTTTGCTGAGGTAAGATAGAAAATAAGATCTTAAATATTTTTTTAAATTTTTGTTGCAAATGTAAATAATTATTGTAAGCATGTTTTTTAAATTTTAGGAAATAATAGGTGGAATGCTGGACTTGGATTGCCAGCTATGGCGAAAACCGAAAAGATTAAGCTTTGACGAACAAAGAGTCAAAGTGCTACAGTTTACAGAAATGTGGAAAAAGTATAATTCTTCATGATTGGGAAACATTAACAATTATATTCCAAAAATTATGGACTAGTAAAATTCAAATGTATCATTTTCTCCCTTTTATTAGAAACAGAATGTGCATTGATATACAAATCATATTTACATAAATATATTTTTATTGCAAATCTCCAAAATGTAGTTACTTAATATTATATATTTAATGTACTTTACATATATGTCAATACTTTATATTAATATTTGAATAGTAAAAATATAAATATAAGTGTCATTATATTTGCTTGAAAATACTTCAAGATTTGGCTTCACTCTCATTCTCGAATCCTGCTACCGGCCATTTTTTCAAATGGTCCTTCAAGACAAAAGGAAAGAAGGATAATACTTTGAAACAATTTCCCATTTTATCTTCGTCGGTTATCATATGATATCCCGATTCAATTTGTCGTTTCTGAATGCTGGTAGCATTTTGTAAAATTATTTTCAATCGCAGATCGATGCCGAGACTCTTCAGAAATTTTCTTTGTGTCACTGGGCCGAATACGATTAATCTGTCGTCTTTTTGCGCAATCTCTTTCATAGATGAAAAATCAACATCAGCGGTTAGATCAGCAGTTCCAGGATTCAACAAGGGGTCGTGTAACTTATGTTGACAGAATGCGCGAAAAGTATCAGTTTTTTCTTTCTCGTGGCCGTAATCGATCACTAGAGCAAATCCTCCGCATTCCCACAGAAATTGGGACATATAGTCTGTTATTATGGAACATTGTGGACTTATTTCTACATGATCCCTTTTCTCATATGGCTAGAAAATTACAATTTCATTATTCTATTGTTTATAAAGAATGCTGTAAATGAATGAATAACTGCTTACGGATAAATATACTTTACAAGCAGCTGTTGGCATCCGCGAAAGAACATATTGAAACCTTTGTTCGTTTGTTTCACGCACTATATCAACTAAGACTTCCCTCCAACCTTTGTCAGTTTTCTAAAATTAAATATTATAATATATATGTAAATTACTTTCTATGTATTTTATGTAGTAACATTCTTGTTTTCTGGTACCTGAAACTTGTGTATTGGCAGAGCATCAAAAAATTCTTGTGCAACAAATATACTGAATTTTTTAGGAATATCAATGATAGAATAATACCAATATATCTTTACTTCATTTTCCGTAATACCTTCTCTATAATATGTGATGGAATTTTTCTGATTTTCATTAATTCTCGGTTCACTCTCTTTGCTCTCTGTGCACAATTTTTCTGCTTGAATTTTAGATAAAGCAGGACTAATTTCGACTAAATGAATCGATATTTTATCCAAAAGATTTAGTTTTTTGCATACCTGAAGCACAATATCTTGCTATACAATCATAAATTTTACACATACATATGCAAATAAGAGAATATTGTAAATATACCCGTAAGATATCATTCATTAAAGTGCCTCTTCCTGGACCCAACTCTACAAGTTGAATAGATTCTTTGCTAATTTTTTCCCATTCGCTAATTATCCAGATTGCTACAATCTATCAATAACAATTAAAGTATAAATTCTATATAATTTGCTTTCTAAAGCTCTAAATTGTGTAGGAAAAAAATAAATAAAATTGTTTCAAACTCTTAGTATATTGATATTGCGAATATTGTTAACAAAATTATATAATTTCTTCACAAAGTTGTTAACATAATTATGAGACACAATAGATTACATTTAGGGCCGCTATTTCCAACTTCTGTTAACCAAAGATTCCAAGTAGTCGACAAAATTGCCAATATGAATGAAATATATACATATCGTCATCAAAAAACGAAAACATTTTAAACTTTTATCTCCTTTAATGACGATATTTTATGTTAGCATTTTTATCAACAAATTGGAACCATCGATTAACGTTAATCGACGTTGGAGCGGCCCTTAATCTGATAATAAGAATTGCGTACTTCTCCAAAAAGTTGACTGATTTCTGGAGAAGTCGTGAAGTCACCTCTTTGCCCGAAAACATCTCTAGTCATGTAATAACCTGAGATAGGATGGATCAAGATTTCATTCATATATTCTGCAAGTGTTATGGGACCACACGCCAATATTTTTGTACGCAACTGACGGTACAAGTCTGATTTTTCTTCGCTCAGATAATTTGTTGAGCATAATCTTTTAACTAAGATTAGCTTTTTACATTGTTTGACTTTTGTATCCACTGTTTGAAAGATATTAATACATTTTTTACAAGTTTGTGATAATCGTGATATTCTAATCATGTCAAATTCGGCGTGACTCTTTCTATGTATATAAATAATTTATTATATTTATTTTTCAGTTAAATTATTCTATTTCTCACACACACACACACACACACACATTGAACTATTTATTTATAATTACATTAAACATATGTATTTCTTTTTTCTTTATTAGCTCCGGAAAGGAACAAACCTCATTCATACGGTCATATGGTTTGTATGCTTCAGCGCATGCTCACGCTAAAAAAAAAGTTGTGGAGGGGAAAATCAGACCGAGAGCTTCACTCGTTCAAGAAAGAGTGCAGCACCCGCGAGAATTCGCGGGAAGATACACGAAGCATAGAAAAAATATCTCATAAGGCGGAAAAATTTGGTAATCTTTTTATTGAATTATATAACATACTGGAAAGCACACAAGAGAGAGAGAGAAGGGATTTTGTCCAATGACCTTGAGCCGAGGGAGAAAGTTGTCAAGTGGTCATGGTTATTCTGTCTCGCACGTTTATCTAAATGGAAAAATAATAATAATATACATAGCAGGCGATGCTTCTCTGTTTCTCTATCGGTTTTCTGTCTCACAAACAAGCTCGGCTGGCTTTATGGCGGTGCTCATTCCAGTATGTTAGAGTCCACCGTATACATCGCTGGATTTATAGCCGCTGCGTCGCGCATGCGTGGAGAAAAGCGTCCAGTCTATCATACGCAAGAAAGACCGTTGTCTCGAGCGTCGTCGAAGTAGTGTACGCTTGGAATAATTCGAATTATTTATACATATAAGGTGACTTGTCGTGAAATTTGAGATTTAAAAAATTGATTTTTATAATTGTCCTAATTTATGTGAATTTTAAATAACTAAATATAACGAATTGACAGATTGCGTATAGATTAATACTCTATCTTTGTTTACTGCGTGTAGCGCCAGTTAGTAGAACTAGTTGATGCTAGTTTCGTTCAAATATGATAATTGTATTTAATGCGAAATAAGGCTAAGTCACGCTTTTAACGTCAATTGTCCCATTGTTACATCTAGGAAAATCGTTTTTTGGTAAATTGTCATTGAAGCATATTTTTCATTTTGTATCTTTTTTTATATACACTACTGCTCAAAAGTTTGGAAGCATTTGAAAGTTGTTAACAAAATAAATACACATTAACAAAACTTTAATTGTTTTATTCATTATTACGTATATGGTGATCAAAACTGACAGTTACATTTATGATACTATAGGTTTCTTTAAAAATATATTAACATTAATTTTCTGTTTTCCTAAAAAAATTGATTACTTCCAAACTTATAAACAAAAGTGTATACTTTTATACATATTGTTTTAAATTTAACTGTGCAATGTGCATTTATTTTAGCTTATTTGGTTAAAGATGGTAGAATCGGATCGCAGTGAAGCTGATGAGGGAAGTATGGATACATTAGAACTGTCATCAGATTCCATCGATTCCGCCATAAAGAAGAAGAGGCCAAGAATGGAAGAAAACGTAGATAAATCAGAACTGTCATTAGATTCCATGGATTTCCCCATAAAAAAGAAGTCAAAAATGGAGGATTGTGTGGATGAAGCAAAAGATTTATCCAGTAAAAGATCTGAGATATTAAAGGAAAATAACGATGAAGCTATTTCAGATAAGAATAGTACAGATGAGTACAATACAAAAAAGGAAAAGCACATAATACATTCAGAAAATGGTCAAAATGAAACATCTCTGTGCAAATCAAATGAAATGAAAGAAGGAAAGAAACTTAAGAAGTTAGTAAAACAGGAAAATAAAAATAAAAGTTCTTTGAATATGGATGAAGATTCTGCTGAAATAAAGATTAATGATAAAGATGTAGAAGATGAGGTAAAAACATAAGTTTATATTAGACTTTTCAAAACAAATAATAAGTTTATATAAACAATTTTGTGTGTGTATACATATGCATACATATAGATTTCCAATTTTCAGAAATTTTTACTATTAACAATATTATTTTTTAACAATTTTGATCTAAACTTCTGACATCTTGACGTTGAAATAAATGATAAAAATTTTACGTATATATATATATATAAAACACTAGGTTTTAGTATATAAGATAAATAAGATATATTGACTACTTATGTGCTCTTATCTTTTTATTTTGAAATAGGCGAAACCATTCAAAGAACTTGTTGAAGACACAACTGTAATTTCTATTGCTGAAAAAAAAAAAAAAAAAGAATGCAGCTGAAGAGAAAGAAGAGGAA